ACTTTGAGCGGAAAAGTTGAACTTTGGAAAGTTTTCTGTCAGTATTTGGTCACTTTTGGTGAAAAAAAACGAATAAAAGCACAGTGGGTAAGTGCGTGTCTGGGGCAGGGTGTTATCATTTCAAATAGAGGGATGACAGACAGATGGATAGACAAAAGAGGAAGAGGGACAAAAGGGGTGACACATCTTTCCAAATGGAGACAGAGCAGCTGATAAGAGAGGACACACGATACCTGCGTTGTGTGTGTGTGCGGACGAAGGCTTCTCACTGTTTTCGCTGGTACCACCCTCTCACATAGAGATCATAGGGACTTCCTCTTTTTAAATGCCGAGATGTGTGCATGTATGCATGTATGCGTGAGTGTGTGTCCTCTGTGGGAGGAGTGGCCACTGACAGAGGAAACTTGGCCTAGTCTGTCCTATGGAAATCTGAGAGTTTCCCAGAGCCATCATAAAACTGCCTCTTTATCAGAGCCCAGCTCTCGCTCCCTCTCTCCCTCGCTGTCTCTAACCCATTACCAGGTCACACACATTCCTGTCTTATGAAAGATGATGTGTGTTGTCATTGGGGGTTCAAAGACAGACAGAGGCGGCTGCGGAGTAAAAAGAAAAGGACACTAAGCGAGAATTTTCACTTGAGTCCTCACATGAAAGCGCTGCTTGCTCAAAGTCAAGGCTTTGGGAGGCCGGGTGTGTTTCGGAAGACTTTGATGGTGATGGACAGAGCGAATGAGAAGCGGAGAAGAAAGAGAAGAAGAGAGGGGATCAGGAGGGGGGCTGAGAAAAGAGGAAAGTAGAGCCAGGGTCTAGGTAATTAACGGCAAGCTCTTTAATTACCGCTGGTGTTCATTGTGCCAGAAGGAATGTGACAATTATGCCATTAAAACTTCCTAATGGGGGGGAAAAAGCGAGGGAGAGGAGGAGGAGTAGGAGGAGGGGGGATAGCGGAAGACATGCAAAAGAGGAGGATGAAAGAATGAAAGGAGAGAGGCAACAGAAGGAAGAGAGAACGACGAGAGGGAGTGAGGGAGGAGGGATATGAAAGGAAAAGGGGAAACAATCGCGACAAAAGAGGAGCTGGGAGGGAGATGGGGAGCGTATTAGGCCAGCACAGTGACAGAGCAGATTAGCATCAAACAAGAAAGGCCACAGACGTGTGTGTGTGTCTATGTATGTGTGTGTATGTGTGTGTGTGTGTGATCACTGAAACAGAGGACATATTCATTCCAAAGACGCCACCAAGGTGGATGGAACTTTGATGATGCAGAAGCTGGCAAAGGGAAAACTCAGAGTGTGTGTGTGTGTGTGTGTGTGTGTATGCGCGCTTGCTGAATCTGCGTAGGCTCCTGTTTCAAGTGGTGGTGCAGGCAGGTAGGGGAGGAAGAGGAGGAGGAGGAGGAGGAGGAGGTGGTGGAGGAGAAAGGGGAGAGATCCACAGAAAAGGGCCTTGGGGGCATCCTGATACACATCCAGTACATTTCCATCTCCACATTACCTCTATGACTCACACACACACACACACACACACACACACACACACACACACACACACACACACACACACACACACACACACACACTTATAAGACGGAAAAACATAACAAATGTGTCCGCGCACATATGTAATACACACAAACACATCATTCCCACACAAACATCAAACAGCAAAAAAACACACAACCCACGCACCCGCACTCACAAACACACACGGTCATACACACAAATAACACTCCCACACACACACACACACACCGAAAAGCCACACACAAACACTTAGGCGCAGAGTCTTCGTGCTCACCAAGGCGGTTGGTTTGTCAGGGGGGTTAGAATTTGCATGGCTGGGCAAATTTTCCTTGTGTTAAACTCTAATCAGCTCCTGTATCTCTCAGACACCTGCCCGGCAAAAAAAAAAAAAAACCTTAATATGCAAAACACCTTCCCTCCCTCCTCCACCCTCGCTCCCCCAACTACTGCAGCTCCTCGGCCAATAGAAGACTTATTCACCTGGCCTCTCTCACTCTTTTCCTCTCTGTCTGTCTTCTTGCAAATTTTCACATTTATGTATGCAAATAGGCTGTTCCCCTTAAGCCTTTTTCAACAGTAGCTTCCTGGTGCCAGGAGAAGAATGATAGTCTTGTCTGAGGTGTGACAGGAAGTGCATGCAAGAAGGGGGTTTGTCAGGGGGAAAAGATGTTGCATGTTACCACAGCTTGGGCAGTAATGGCATATTTGTTGGGTGCTGCATACAAACTTTTTGTGGGGGGGGTGGGGGTGCAATAATATAGTTTCTTGTGGCTGGTTCATTGCAAACCTGTCTACCAATCATTCAGAAATATATATTTTTAAGTTATGTACACATCCAGTTTACATTTGGCCCAACTGTTCTGCAATACAAGCTTCCGATAGTTAGATTTTTATCATTTACTTATTTTTAGGGCATGTTTTAGCTCCACTGTGCAGAATGAGGAAAGTTTCTCTGTGCTCACCTTAAGATTCACAAATAGTTCGGAGGCCAGTCATGGTCCAATATTCAACTTACACATGTGTGATGTGGAAACTTAAAGTAGGAGACGACTTGTGTCCAGGTGTTAAACTTTTGAAATGAAAAATATCTGTAGATTCACAGGTTGTGGATTTCCCAGTGAAAGAAAAAAATTGTAACTCTTTGTAAGAAAAAAAAAACAGACACAAATTATTATTCTAAGTAGAGAATTTTACAGTACATGTCTTAAAACATGTCTGATGTAAATCTTAAAATTTTGCTCTGACTAAAAACATTGTCTCCAAAACAAGGACATTGATATCACAGTCAAGTTTGTGAAGCTGTGTGTTTTTGGGAGATTATTTCCCAACAGGGACTTCCATTTCCTGTCGTGGGTGTCAGGTGATTTACCATAAGCAGAGCATAATTTGATATGAAAAAAGAAAACAAGCCTCAGGAGAAAAAAAAACAAAAAAAAAAACACTGATTCCAGGACCAGGAAAAATGAAACCTAAATGATTAGAACAGACTCAAAGAAAAAAATACTGTTATTATTCTTTAGCAATCCAATTTGCTTTTACTGTTAGTCATGTAAAAATCAAAAGTGTTACACCCGTTTAAGGTTTAAGGCTGCTCTAAATGAGCGTAAAATGTCAGTGCGAGGCTGTAGGTGAAGGGTCAATGTCCTCTTGAGTTAAAGCTATTTTCCTGTCATTAAACAAATAATTTCTGCTCTAGTCATGATGAGCAGCTGAACAGAGGGAATGGTGTCATTTTTACTTTGCGCTTTGCTCTGATGGACTTTGGGCTTATTGAGACCTCATATATACAAATGCTTCTGCCTGCCAGAGTCTTTCAAAGCCTCCCTTAAGAGGGCTGAAGATGGATGTGGGGAAGTGTGTGTGTGTGTGTGTGTGTGTGTGTGTGTGTGTGTGTGTGTGTGTGTGTGTGTGTGTGTGTGTGTGTGTGTGTGTGTGTGTGTGTTGTGTGTGTGTGTTTGGGTGCACACAGAGGAGCCCCAGTGGACAAATAACGGACAGAGAGAGATAGACGGAAACAGAGAGAAAGAGAGTGAAGCACTTTAAATGTGAGCGCTTGCAAAACTCCCACCGCTCGCAAGGGCACTTCTCTCCTGCACGTCATCTCTCTTTCCCCCCTCTCTCCTTCTACCCTTCTTTCTCCCCTTTCCATTCCCCCTTGATTCCCTTTCTCCCTCCCTTCATCGCTTTCTCCTTTGTCTCTGAGCTCTCACCTTCTATCCCCTATCTATCCATCTCCCTCTTCCCCCTCTCCCCCTCTTTCTCTCCCCTTCCTCTCACTAAAACAGTAGGACGCTTAACCTTGATAACAGTGAGATTTTTTCCCCCCTCAAAGTGACACACACACACACACACACACACACACACACACACACACACACACGCACACACTGGAGAAGTGCTTTGCCAGCATGCCAGGCCGGTCCAAGGGACGGCTGTACCCTTCGAGGTGAACAGGACACTGGGAAATGCAGCAACAACAAAACACTCACACACATACACGAACGCACATAGACTCGATCTCTCTGACAAATACACACACACACAGACATGCGCGCGCACACACACACACAGCAGCCCAGATCACTCCAGGTCCTTCTTAATACAAGCCTTTTAAAGGTCTATTGTCAGCTGACATTGAGAGAGCACTGGCGATCCTGAAACGTTTCCCTCCCTCACACACACACACACACACACGCGCGCGCGCGATAAGGTGGCAAAAGGAGAAGTAAGACAAATTAAACATATTAAAGGTGAAGTTGCCTGATGAGAAATTACGATTACAATGCACTGGAAGATATGTACACAATGCACACATAAACATCTCACCGCAGATGATAGGTAAATGAGGACAGGGAAGTGAAATGTGGTTTCTCACACACACACACACACACACACACACACACACACACACACACACACACACACACACACACACACACAGAATCACCAAGGGGAAATTAACAGTGAGGAAGAGGCAAAACGAGCGAGCTGTCAGTAAGGTTTCTTCCTCATTGGATGAGAGTTCCTCACATCCCTGTGATGTACCCTTTAGAAAACAACACTTTCTTATTATTATGTGATGATTTAGATTTTTTCCGATACACACAAAACTCTTTTACCTCTTTAAAAATCCGTAGGTGTTTCTGAGAAAACACATTGTCGCAAAGCTGAAACCTTGCGCTGTTCAGGAGATGGTTTTCACGGCAAAGCGACCGTGTACATTATAGTATAGTGCGCAGAGTGCGGCAGGATGTAGAAGAGACTTGAACTCAGCACTGAGAGCAGTTACAGCAAGGCAGTGTCAGAGAGGAAACAGTGAGACGGTGTCACACTACCCGTCTGCATCACGAGGTATCAGGTGAATTTCAACGTTTTTTTTTTTTTTTTTTTTTTTATACGATTAAGCTCTCATCACCTCTCATCCGTCTCCTTTACAATTTGGTCTGCATTCGTTCACTGAAGGTGCGGGTGTTTACCTCGAAGTCGTTGGCCTTGTTGTAGTGCATGTTTAGTGCCCGGAAGAGCTCGCAGTCGCGGCTGACGCTCAACTCCTCGGCTCCGGTGACTCCGTCGTTGATGGCCTGGCGGGCAAACTTCTCCATCTGGATGTAGTAGAACTCCCTGAAGTTGCTGAACCATTTGATCAGCTGGGAGGTTATGCAGCGGTTAAACTGGAACGAGAGACGAGGGGGGGTTAGCACTGTTTGGTGTCAGTCTGTTTGCGTTTATTCTCAATTATCACTTAAAAATCTCAGACATTCTGAGTGGAAGTACAGGGGATCTGTAAATACACTTGAGGAGGGAAGACTATCGTGTGTTAACCTTATTAAGCAACTGGATTTGAGCATGAGAGGAAGGGAAGAAGTGGAAGGGTGACAGCAAGTCAGTTCGCATCAGGAAGCTGGGACATGAGGGGTTGACTTAAAAGAGTGTGAAGAAACAGAAAGAGAAAGATGAAAGAGTAGAATAAGAAAGAACACAGGTCGCGGAGTGAGGGAAGATAATAGAGACATTAAGTAAGACAGTGAGCAAGAAGGGGGGAAGGGGGAGCAGGAGAGAGAGTGTGTGTGTGTGGTTCATCTTTCCCACTGGGAGCAAACCCCCCCCCCCCCTATCATAACCCTGAGAGTGGAGGGAGAGGTGGAAGGCGGGTGGGGGGTAAGACCGCAAACACATAATTGACCAGAAAAACGATTAAGTCATCATCTGAAGCGCCCTGGCCCGCAGGGGGCTCAAACATGTACTTAACCCCGTTCACCAATTACACCCTGATTCTCCTCCCCTGTCCGCACCTCCCAGGCAGGAAGAAAGGAGAAGAAAAAGCAAAAAAAGAACAACAAAAAAAAAAAGACAAGAAAGAGAGAGCGAGAGAGAGAGCGAGAGAAAGACAGAGACGATAAGCGCCGCAGAGAAGGCTGTGGCTATCTGATCTGTGCCGCTCGGCTGGATTCAATAGGGCGAGGTAAACCTATTAAGACCCTCGGCTGGTCCCGGCTCTTTTTTTCCGCCTGGTCTCAGCAGTGAAAACACACTGTCTAAACATCCAAACCACTAGATAAGGACCTCAGGGGCTCAGGATCCTTCCTAGCCAAGTCAGCTCAGATCAAACCCCTAAACGCATTAATATAACAACTTTACTTCACTTCAGCGACTCCTCGTAATTCCATCTCACAATTTCAAAATTCTGGCCTCCGAAAAGTTGATACCCCTAACCATCACCCACGCCCTTCGTTCAAACACACACACACACACACAAAAAAAACACACACACACACACACACACACACACACACACACACACACACACACACACACACACACAGGCCTTCACTCCTCCCTCCCCTCTGCTCTTTTTGTGGTGCTGGAAGAATGGGGGGACAAAACGCTACTAAACGCTGAGCGGACTGCTCGCTGGGGAGGCAGAGCGGTTTTGACATGGAGATTAGGCTCTGGCTATTGTTCGACAACACACAGACACACACACAAACATGCACGCACACTCTTCGCGATCTGGGATGGCAGTCAAACGCACGCAAGCACATGAGGATGGGAGGGCGAGGCAACAGAACAGAAAAGACAGGCAGAAGCGTTGGCGAATCAGAAGAGGCGAGATAGTTGGACCAAGGTGGGACGGGGCTAAAGGAGAGGGCCGTGCCTTTCTGGAATGATGACATAATGGCGGAGTGGAAAAGAATAAGTCCGCTTGACATTGTTTGGCAGGGGTTTGGGAGGGTGTGTGCAGGGGGAGAGGAGGGGGTAGCATGGTGGCTGTCCTAAAGTGCAGGGTGAGCATAAATGGGGAAATGAGGGAGGGAGGAGAGGAGGACGGGTGCAGGTCAGCGCTGTCGGACAATGGCGTTTTGCTTGTGTGTGGGGGGGGGGCAGAGGGTCGGAACGTGAGCAGTCAGCAAGCTGGGGTCGTGACATCGGAGTGTCAAACAAACAAACTACTGACACTTACAAATACATCGGCTGCACGGGGCTATTCTTAAACACACACAATGTAGCAGACAGTCGGAGGGTGACAGAGCACAAACACACTGTTACACTCAAGCCGCCAGCGTGGTATCAACCTTTCCTCGCGCGTAAGATCGGAACAAGTCTTACTGGGGAGACACAAGTGAATTGGTGTTGATCTGTGCAAGCATGTGTGCATACATGCATCTGAGCGCAAGTGAGACTGAGTGCTACATACCGAGATTAAAGTCAGTGAAAGAGTTACCATCGCTCATGCAGGGGACCTTTGGTGTCACTGCAGCCGAGTGATGGATAGATTTGTCACTTTGGACAAGGATTACTTTATTATACCGACAGCTCAGGAGAAGACGTATTAGGGCCCGTGCAACTGAAGTGAACTGTGGCTCAATCACAGCACAGCGCGCACAAAAGATACAATATTTACAGTACATGCAGGTAAATACACCAAATTACATTATATCCCCATCTACTGCACTCAACACATTCAGGGACTCAATTTTGGCAAGTCACCCTACAGCTTCCAGCAGTCTTGGTTCATTAAGTTGCTGGTGGGGGGACAGAGACCCCCTGATAGCAGCTAAGGACGAGTGTGTTCAGTGTAAAAGGAGGGAATCGGTTCAAAGAAGCACATCACTGCAGCTCCTTAATCAGAGCTGGCAGGGGTCAGCCAGCACAGACATGAGATGCAGTGAGGAAAATGTGTGTCTGTGTGTGTGTGTTTGAGTCAACGCACTGCATTTGAGCATAGTGTGTAAGGGAGCGTGTGTGTGTGTGTGTGTGTGTGTGTGTGTGTGTGCGCCTGGCTGAGAGGCAGATGAGAGAGAGACAGCGAGAGCGTGTTTCTCACACTCACACTCAAGAGCCTGTGAAAGGTCAGCGCTTAGTGCTAACAGCACAAGATAGAAAGTGGCGCACGCACACACACACACACACACACACACACACACACACACACACACGCACACATATGTCCTGCTCATGCACAGACACATACTTAAGTCCAGAATAGGAAAACACTCAAGTATCCTTGGTCTAAACTATATCAGTCACCTGCCAGAAACATTCAGGCGCTGTGCCAAACTTCCACACACATATCAGCTAATGTATTAATATGTATAGTAAAACTGATTTTACAGTTTTGTATTTTGGTTTGTTTAGGATAAAAAATGTTTAGCCGAGAAGCATTTGGTTAAAAAGCCAAAGTGTGTCTCTAGCTAATACTTTCTGTGACACAGTGGTCAACAATGGAGCAGAAAGCACACAGATGACCTCAGAATGCTAAGCTACATCCAGAACAACCGGAGAGGAGAGCAGAAAGACAGAGAAGCCTGTACGGGCCTCCCTCTCTCCCTCTCTCTCTCTCTCTTTCTCTTTCTCCCTCTCTCTCTCGTAAGCCCCTTCACAGTCATCAGGGCTTTCCAACGTTTCCTGTTTTCGCAGGGGTGAATTGTGGGAGATAATCTCCGGCTGCCTATTGGCTGACTGCACACAAAAAGCGGCCCTGGAAAGCGGGCTTTTGTTACTGCGGCGACTCAAAATCCAGCCGCTGGCTTTTCTTTCTCCCCGGCACCGCCGAGGCACACATACCATGCCACACCATCAGCAAAAAAAAAAGAAAAGAAAAGAGAAGGAATGACATATAGAAAAGGGAAAACCCTCCTGACCCCCGCTACTCCACAGCACATGACTGGCCCATATACTGAGGCTTGTTGCGAAAAGAGCCACAGAGAGATGAATGCAGGATGGGGTGGGTGTGTGTGTGTGTGTGTGTGTGTGTGTGTGTGTGTGTGTGTGTGTGTGTGTGTGTGTGTGAGTGTGTGTGTTTACTTAAAAATGAAAGACATTTGTGCATCAAGGTGCAAACATGCTATAATGATATGCAGCACATCTATAAACATCCCTGTTTACAAAGGCAATAACTTCAGTTGACTTTATCAACTGACCGAATATATTTATTTAATCCGTTCATTAATGTGTTATAATTATTCATCCTTCATCAAAACACTATCTGCAATAATAATGAGACGTCTTAAAGCTGCTGGGATGATACCGTAGGCCGTCATCGGCATCACCAACAATGGTATTATGACACATCTGTCAAAACATTTCAAAAACACCAAAAGTCAGAAAAAAGTCACAATTGTCTTGAAAGGAGCTTAATCAAGGGGAAAAACGGCTACAGCATCCCCCAGTCGTTAGGGCAACCTACTTCCCACGTTCATTAGGTTCTCGACACTCAAAACCTGATTAGTCGAGACCTGATTAGCCTTCAAGACTTTTGTCTGAAGACAGCCACTCGCTAAGAGGCTGCGCCGGCTGAATCTAATTAGATAGTCAGTCTCATTCCCATACATGTCTACTAACTTACAGCTTGACTCCATTGTTCTCTACTGAAAACAAAAACCCTTAACTAGCTTGACCTTGTTTAAGTATCTGTTGAAGCCATTCATCAGGAGGCCACCTCCTTGGGACAATGGTAAGTCAGTGAAATAAAGTGGGTGAGGCCTTTAATAGTAATTGCTGCTGCAAGTTTTAACAACAAAAAAATGTCAAATCGGTGGGTTGCTGGGGGGTGGTGGGGGCTTTGTAATGAATCAACATTTACAGGTGCCTTCCAGCTTTGCTCACACGTGTCCCGTTTTCAACCAGACCAATGAAAAATCTCAGAAAGCCATGTGTGTCGCGAGTCACGATTGGCGGTGATGGCATCCAAGAGGGGGCAGCTGGGAGAAAAGGGAACCTTTATCTTCTGATTTGAATAAGATGGCCTGGATCTGTCACCGTGTTTACCCCTCCGTATGGTCCGAGAGGGGCACACACACAAAACAACAACAACACCAACAACCACGGTCATGCACACTACAACGGCCATTGTGTTGTTGTTCTTGTTTTTTTTTGTGTGCACAGCTTACATATTGTGCTTTGTTTTCCAAATTTCCTTCATTAAACTCCCAGTGGAGCTAACGCTCATCCTTGCCATGTTCCCTAAACCGACTCTTTCTCCTCTCCCTCCCTCTATAAAACCATCCTCCCTACACCTGCTCAGATAACCACTCCTCCGTCTCTAGGCTCCATCCTCCTCCCTGCCCTCTCCACCCCTCCATTACTCATGCCGCTCTTTATCTTTAGAATACTCATAGGCTCTCCAGCTCCCTCATATAAACCCATTCAACTTCCTCTTCTTTCATCTTTTGCATAAAACCATAACTTACTGAGGGAAAGGGCCTCATTTTGAGACAGACAAGCACACACTGTTCACGGCAACTGAAGCCGGCAAATCACAATTAATAAATCAAACTTCCTCTTTTAAAGCCGGGGCTTTCACAAATGTACAAGGAAGAAATGGGACAAAAGACAGGAAAGAGCGCTATCTGTCTTCACACTTAAACAAATTGCAAAAGCAGTCACCATTTCAGGAAAATAACCGGTACCACTAATAAGTTTGAAAATAGAAAACCAGAGAGAGCCACAGAAAGGTCTTCCCAATTTAGAAAGGGGAGCATCGCAGGAGATTTGGCAAAATGTTTGGCAAAGTTTGTAAAGTAAAAGAAACACTAAAGTGCAAGACCATGTTCAGACTCACCTTGACATCAGAGAAGAACATCTTGAGCATGTTAGAGCTCGGGTAGCGGGTGTAGAAAAACATGAGCTTGGCCTTCTTCAGATGATTTGGGGAGAGACCCTCCTGGATCTGCAAACAGCTGCCATTAAGGACATTAACGATTGTTTGGAGGGAAAACAACTGATGGTAGATGAGGCAAATGTGGCGACTGATGTTATCAGAAATACAATATGTACTTGCTAATAATTGGCAGTAAGTTTGGCAAGAAATCATTTGGATGATGGTTAAACCAAATTTCCTTTCAGGCATGGATGCAGGGTTGCTGGGAGAGAGAGGGAGGGAGGCTGTGTGTGTGTGTGTGTGTGTGTGTGTGTGTGTGTGTGTGTGTGTGTGTGTGTGTGTGTGTGTGTGTGTGTGTGTGTGTGTGGGGGGGCTGTTGAAGACGGTGCACGAAAGCAAAACCATTTGCTTGCAATTAGCATCGTCCGTATCAGGTGTGAGAGCGTCACGGTAAATAAAACGCTGGCCAGCATTACAGCCGATGCTTTTACATAAGGAGACTCATTTCACAGTCAAAGTAAGCAAACGCCTTTGCCTACACCCTGCTCTAACCTCCACCCAAAAAAAGGAAGAAGAAAAAAGGAGACATTTGCATATCACAGACAAAGACAGCAGTTAACGCCAGTGACGGGCAAGAAGGCCTAATGGCTTGGCGACAACACATGCCAAGCCTGAATATGACTGTCTGATGCTGGCTTCATATCAGTGACAAAACAAGGTCTAGGAGATAGTCCCAAACACTGGCCCAAGCAACATGAAAAACCTTCTCACACTCGCCTAGGCCATATTCAAATACATGTCAGAGGCCTTGTCCTCCTAATGGATCGCCTGGATTGAACAGCAGAGAGGATGGAGATGGGCTGGTGGGGGCACCTTGAGGGATAGCATGGTTCCAACCTTCAATTACATCCCCCTCCTCCTCCCTCTGCTCCACCCCTGCCCCCCAGCCTCTCTGCCGCTGCCAAACCCTTGGAGGAGCAAAAGAAGGAGGAGGAGAAGGAGAAGAGGGGCTCTGAGGCTTTGGACTCAGCCAGTGATGGGGGGACTGAAACACATCTGCGCCACCGAACGGCCCAAGCCATTTCCATGGTGAATTAACGGCCGTATAATGCATCTGATAATATCAATCTGGAGGATAAGACATTGAAAAGGGAACGGGGATGGGGATGGGGGTGGGCCGCATGTTAAAACCTCAGGCTGTTTCAACAAGGGTTTTTCATCAAGCACAAGCAAGACAGGGCTTTCAATTACAAAGAAGACACAGCCCCAAGTTTTCATGAAGACTATTTACACTTGAGTGGACAAAATACATTGCTTGACATTATTTATGATCTACAGGGGTGGCTGTGATCGTTAAAATCAGTCAAGTGTCCAGATGTAGCTGTAACTATAGAGTGGGAAGAAGGCATCAGCTGCTAGATTGGATTGCCCTTGGCCTCAGGGTTAAACAGCAAAGCCAGCAAATGCTGAACCACGCTGGGTTGGCTCCTTAAAGACCCTGTCTACTTTGTCTGATTCAGTGAGGGAGAGGGAGAGGGAGAGAGTTAGTTGTATACGCAGCGAGGGTCTTGTGGGGGAAACCCTGGCAGACTGGTGTTACTCTGTCAGGCCTGGCCAAAAGAGCAGCACTTCACTCTCCACACCAGACCATCTGCTCCAAGTGGAGGGGATACAATGGATCCTCAGACAGAGAGAAGGAGAGACAGAGAAAAAGAAAGCTCTTTTTCAGTAGGGCAAGGTGGGATTTGTTTGCTGTGAAAGCTGCGCACTTACACTTAGATTAATTTGTTTTTGCTTTTTCAATTAGGATTAACATCGCTTTCCTCTTATCATTGAAATTAAAAATAATTTTAAAACAAAGACGCCGAGGTTTTACCTCTCCAGCCATAAACGCAATATCACCTCCCTTCAGATGACAATTAAGAAGCTTCATATCTCCTGATGAGGCATTTTCATCTCCAATTCACTCACAGCTTGCAAATGTAATTGTGATTGGACTTAGGGGTGGCGTGCAAGGCTATTATTTTGTCATGATGGTGCACTCATACCAGCTGGCCCACTGTTTGCCTGCCACATCTGACAAGACATCATCATTCTCACAACACTTCCCCAAAGCCCAAAGTCATGAGAGGGAAATAGCTGCTGCACTCCCTAATTCCAGGTGTAAGGACAAGAAAATTTGGAGTCGGACTGAGAACAAATGAGGAAATTGATAGCAGCCATCTGCTCCGCAACGCTGCCGAGAGCTGGTGAACTTGAACACACCTCGCAAAATGTCTGACAAGCTGTTTCTGACTTCAGAAGCTCGAGAGAAAAAAAAAAAAAAAAGCGACAGAAATATCAAAAATATCTACATCAATAAAAACAGCTATGAACAGAGAGAGAACAAATACAAATAAACTGATTCATAAATGTCATAGTAATTACAAGAGCAAATGTACAAAACAATATCTTGTAAATGCCAAACTTTGTTCCTAAACCTGTGGAATAAACTCTGAGAATCAAAAATAAAAGATGGAAAAAAAAGAAAAGAAAAACAACACATGTGGACATGTTGTTCTTCCTATTCTTTCCATTTAGGGGTGTACATCTGTTAATGCCCTGAATTTATAAATGTTACAATGAAAGCCACAGCATCTGGCATATGTGGTTATTGTTTGATTGTTTTCTACTTTCTCTCAGTCTCTGTATGTCTCTCTCTCCCTTTTCTCTTTTCATCCCTCCATCGGGAGCCCACAGAAGCAAAGGATTATGGATCTCTGGAAAGCGTTCACCCTTGGGTCAGAAGACAAGACAAGGCGAGGTAATGAAAGATAAACAGCTCGCTGCAAACACCTGTTAACGTCCGCTTCAAAGAAAAGACAGGGAGGAGGGGGGTTTGCAGGGAGGGAAAACAAAAAAAGAAGTATTTGGCTGCCAAGCAACAGCCGAAGGGCCCCCCGGGCTGTTGACAGATCTTTATGAAATGAAAAAAAGAGAAAAGAAACGACAATGATTGTGGGCTTTTTACAACAGCGATGGATGATAAGAGGAACACAAGAGAAAACACAAGCAATCATAAATATACATCTTTACTGAGTCCTCAGGCGAACCTTTTGTGACACGCACACACAAAAAGACACACACACACATGAAAAAGCCTAGGCTCTCAGGTGCACACAATAGTAAAAACAAGGGGATCCAAAGTGTTAAATATACATAGTCTCTTAACTAATGTGTCCACCACAGGTAAAAAGCTCTAGGATTATTTTCTTAAGCATGTAATGAATGTTAATGACTTGAAGACAAGGTTTTCTAAGGACAGCCGGTGTGACACGAATCAAACTTTCATAAGGGTTAAGGGTGTTGAATACTTAGGAACTAAAGAGGTATAGTGGAAACAGAGAAGGGACTGAATGTATCTGTTTAAGCTATTAGTCCGGAGCCCCCCGGGGATTCAATTGAGCCTCCCATAGGGGATAGGCTCTTTATCTGCAGGGCATGATTGGGGCACACTGGGGTTAAACTATAAGGGAGGCTATATAACACCATTGTATGCCAAGTTTCAGGATGCTATCGGCCTCCTTGGCCTTTCCAGCCATTTTTTTTATTAAAGGAACTGGGGCAGTAAATGTCGTGGGGACCTAATCTTCCTGAGTAAGTGATGTGTGACAAGAGAGCTTTTAAAGCACTCAGGATTGAAGATGGAAGAAAAGGTGGTATAGTGCTGTGAGAAGGAAGAGGTATGAGTATAAAAATAAATACAACAATGCAGTAAATGGAGAAGAGAACAGCAGTGGGAGGAAAAGTGATTCATCAACAATTTCTCACTTTCTTAGGCTAGTTTCAAACAGGCTCAAAAAGATTTGATTTTTAACTCTATGTAGTTCAGATGAACCGGTCTCTGCAGGGAACTACCACCTGAAATCAGATTTTTTTCTGGCTTACACAGGCATGAGCTGGTCTGAACTGGACCATGTAGGGTTAAAACATCTGCCACACACACACATTCACTTATTATTGCCTGTCAACCCCCTCAAAACGCACACTCTCTCCTACACATGCACACACACACGCACACACACGCACACCCCACTGCCATTCAGGTTATTTTAAAGGATACATTGCTGCCTGAGTAAGGTGAGATGTCAGCCATGTCCTGGAGATCACTGCACTCAGACTTGATGAGGGACAGGGAGAGACCCTCGGCTGTGCTGCCAGGGTGCGCTGGTGAACAAGAGCGATGGTGGTGCCCCAGGTGGTGACCTGATGCCATCTTGGTCCTCAGGCTGGTGGTCTCCCGGGACAGGTCCATGGAGTCTGGAGAGGAACGGTCCTTGCCCGTGTAGCTACCTGTGGGTGCACCGAGGGGACTCTGGAAAGGGTAGCCCATGAGAGGCAGCGGGAAGGGGTGTCTAAAGGATGGGGGGCTGAAGCCCATGGAGGCAGAGAGCGAGGAGGGGTGAAGAGCAGGGTGGTGGTGCCCGCCATGGGCTCCCACAGCTGAGGACTGGTGGTGGTGCTCGCTGGGTGTCTTCCTCACGACTAAGGGCAGGGCCTCGGTTTGGTCATTGGTGGCGCCTGGCATCCCGGGCATGCTGGCGAAGGAGTCTAGTGGATTGGGAATGATGACATCACCGAAGCACTGCAGCCTCTGGTTGGCAGTGTGGAAATTAGGGTTATCTCCATTGACAGCAGTGGGAAATCTTTCAGGAGGTATGGAAAGCGGGGGGAAGGCCTGTTGAGGTGTAGGGCGTGGAGGTTTGGCAAACACCTTAACCACTGTGTCCACCACCTGGGTCATGGCTGAATTGAGCTCCTGCTTCAGTGTTTCTGCCAGCTGTTTACCTTCAGCATGCATTGAGGAGCCTGGACCTCCCTGTCCTTTGCTCCGGCCGAGCCCCTCTCTTCTTGGCTTCTCTCCGTCAGCCAGCAGGGCCTGCTCCTGAAGCAATGCCCGCGCCCTGTCCAGGAAATGGCCCGGGTCCAGGTCAGACATCTCATTGTCAGAGCGCAAGTCATCTCCACCTCGGTCATCGCCACCTGTGTCAGACCTGGCTGGGCTGTCCTCTGACATGTTTCCTATGTCATTGTGGAGGTCATTGTGGAGGTCGTTGTGTTCTGAGTCGTCAGTTGAGTCATAGATCTGAAAGAACTTCTCCTGCAGCTGGCGGAGCTGTTTCTGCATGTCCTCCAGCTGCAGCTTCAGTTGCCGTCGCTCCTCCTGCTTCTGCTCCTTCCTCTGGCACACCAGCTGGGTGAAGCTCTGCTGTTGCTGCTGAGGCAGACGCTGCTTACGCTTGTTCTCTCGGCTGCTGCTACTACTGCTGCACACCTCGCCTCCCCGTGGGCTGCTGGGGGCCTGCTGCTGAGACTGAGGAGGTGGGCAGTCTAGCTCCATGTCCCGATCTCCATCCATCTCGTGGTCACGTTCGTGACGGGAAGCAGCAGGTACCACCACACTGGGTGAGTGGCTCATACCACGTATAATGTTCTCTACACGGGCTCGCTTGGCACGCAGGTGTTCATCATTGAGACGTTCGATGTCAAAGGTAGCCAGGCCAGGAGGACGGCCAAATGGTGACAAGCACTCTTGAGGCGTGCTGTCCTGGGAGGAGTTACTGCAGGCATCCTCCTGGGGAGCATCTGAGCTTGCATTGGAGAGCCCTGATCCAGGGAAGCCTGATTCCCCTCTATCACCCCTGTCTCCTCTTTCTCCCCTCTCGGGTCCTCCTCCATTTTTAGCCATGTTATTCTTGAGAAGCTGAGAGATAATGGTGGTGCCAGGAAAGGGCATCATGGTGTCCTCGTATGAGTTGGCCCTCTTCAGAAGCTTTCGGAGTACATTGGACTTGGACTCACTGTCGCTGGCTGTAACAACGCCAGGCCCGCCATGTGGCTGCACAACAGAGCACTCCATGGAGTCGGTGTCTGATCCGTGGTGAGAGTGGGAGCTCAGAGAGTTCATGGCACTGAAAATGGCTGCTTTGGCCCGGGCAATGTTATCAGTGGTTGCTGTTGTGGCTGCTGCTGTGGAGGAGGCTGTGCTGCCTACGGTCCTCTTAACACCAATGTCCACACGTCTTCGTTTGGTCTGTCTGTTCAGGAGGGAGTCGCTGTCATGGTCCGGCATCACGGGCTGCTGCTATTGGGCCATATCCCACAAACCCAGTCCTTTTGGATCAAAGCCTCTGAGTACCTGTGGGCAAAAATTCACAGATGCGTGACTCACAAAAGTGAAAACTCACTCACTCACTCACTCACTCACTCACTCACTCACTCACTCACTCACTCACTCACTCACTCATTGTCCTTGACCACTTCAATTTCAAACCTAAATCTACATTAAAAGCTTGAAAGTTTTTGATAGACTGAGACAATCAAAATCCATCAGCCTCAACAGAACTGAATTAGCCGACATGAGTTTTGTCTCAAGTCAGCAGTCAATCACTCTTATTATGTTCCTACACGGACAGGGACATCCATGATTACATGACATTTAGGCAGTAAGAACCAATGACAGAGGGGTGAAGAGAAACAGGGGAGATGGGGTCAGAATTAGGCCTGGGCTTGACATTCCAGGGCAAAGTCCTACATTTTATCCTGTCCCCTGTTACACGCTGCGCGACACTGAACCAGTTCCCACGGAACACAAAGCTGCATAAAATTATGATAATTACTTAAGTACTTGTCCTCATTTCCATGTTTGTGTGGTGTGAGCCAACATAGGAGCTATTAACTCACAAAATGAAAAAAAAAAAAAAAAAAATAGGGAAAAGATAATCTAAAAAAAAAATATTCTACACAAGGGGAGGAAATGCACATTGAACATGTTGTGATATACCCTTTACTAAATCCTGTTCACTAAGTGAGCTATCATTTGATCGGTTCAACGAAATGTTGTAATTTTAAACCATGTTTACACACATTTTGTAATTTTAAAACGCGAGTCCTGTGTTCACATTAATCAATATGGCCATCATATCTTAAGCAATGAGGAGAGTGACACAAAAAAAGAGACGCAAAATAGGCCTATTGATTTTGGTGCCAGCGTGAGCTCACTTCTGTGTTTTTTGTTTGTCTTTTCATCTGGCAAGGGCAGTTAATTCTGCTCAAATGAATAGGTCACAAGGGTCAACTCTGGCAAGGAGCAACTTAAAGCGCTCTTACAAAAACCCTAATGCCCCTCTGAAAGCAAAACGTTTTGTCAGTACAGGCCTGCATCAATAATGCTACGTAAGCAGCGCTGGCAGTGTCTTAGTCAGAGACATATCAGACGCATCCAATCTCAAATGTAGTGATATTATCAGAAACTATTGAATCTGTATTCCTCTCTTAAACAAATTTAAATATATCTGAGGTTAGTGAATTTATAAATTTGACAATGTTTTTTTTTAACAGTATAAAAGTGGCAAAAGTGGTGCAACAATTTACATTTTTCTTTTTTACACTCTTCAGGAAAACACCAGCCCTTTTTAAGACTCACAGACGCTCGGTAAAAAATAATAAAATATATATTTTTTAAAAACAAATACAACGCAAAACTTTGCTTAAATTTTAAAGGTTATATTTATACTCAAATGTTGCTCTGATTCAAGTTGACTTTTAGATAGAACTGCAACGTAGCTATAAAAATTTTTAATTTTAAATGCAAAAATGTGACATGACTGATTCGGATCTATTTTGAAGATATTATATGATATTCTAAGAGAAGACATTTATTTTATAGGCTCGGTTTCAGTTTGGGGGAAACAGCAGGGAGAATTCACCTGAACAACATTCTCCATAAGTGATTATTTGCTTGCTCTAACTGAAAGAAATTGTACCGTGTAAGCATTATCACTACATGTACGTAGTCTTTTTTTTTTTTTTTTTTAAATAAAAAGGCTTTCTTGTCTTTTTTGTCACTGAGTCTCACCACACACATCCACACTGTACACACACACACACACACACACACACACAGGCGCGCACACACAACTTTGCTGTTGGCTTTGTTAGAAACTGAAGTGTGATGCACCACACAAGTGACACGGACTGGCAGGTTTGTCACTCTGACAGAAAACATTTTGTAAATTCACATTTTGTAGCATGACAATTAAAAACTTGGATTAAATGTTTTTCCTACTGAAGTAACACCAGGACTCTTAAATAAAACCCTCTGATAAATGGCTTTGGCCCAAGTCTTGACAGCCATATCCAGCAGTTCAGACAGGAGGTGATACAGCTCCAAGGAAAAAATAAAAACAAACCTTGACTTGATTGCCTCAGGATCTTAACAATGAGCTTGAAATAGTCACCAGCACCTGTCTTTTCCAACCGCGCACCTGTCTCCTATTGCCCATGCGCACTCTCACTCTCTCTCTCTCTCCCCTAAAAGAAAAACCTTTCAACAATTTAAGCAACTATGAACTACACACATGACCACCGAGCTATAGATCTCCACTCCAAGTCTTACACCTCATCATTTTCACCCATCTCTTCCTCTTATTTCAAACCTTTCACCAAGTATTCAGCTGATAAGAAACAAACAGTAAAAAAAATGAATTAATTAATAAATAAACAAACATGAAACTTTTCCTGACTCACACAGTTGCTGTAACAACATTTTCACAATAAGACAGTCTAGTAAAAGTGAGTGTAACTGACTGTTTGTTTGTACATCTGGTTGCCAGTGGCCAGACTTAAGATATCAAAACCTAAGAGAGACAGATTTGCGTGCACAACAATACACCGGCAGCGTTTTATCACAGTTCTCCAAAAGTAGTGCCGCAGAAGACACTCACCGTATTCACAAAGCAGGACAGGATCTGACGACATCTGTCAGAGCAAAAGGATTTTTGCGTAAAAAAAAAAAAAAAAAAAAAAAGCAGGTGTGAGGTGTTAAAATCAGATTTTAGCCAAAGGATAGAGACTGTGTGAGGTGATGGCAAACTCGCGGTTTCCAACGCTCACACGAGAGCAAATACAAGTAAATACAAGTTTCCGTGAAATACCAACTCATGTTTTAAATCACGTTTCTCGTTGTAAAAGAGAAAGAAAGAACACACATACACACACACACACATATACACACACACACGCACACACATATACACACAAACACACACACACACACGTTTCCCCAAAAACTTACTTCACAAAGTTGCAAATCAACTTGATCTCCGCTTTGATGAGGAAGGCTGGGCTACAACCGTCCGCAAATCATCCTCGCCAAAACACACGGGCTACTGCTCACGCAACTCTCAGCACAGACCAAGACGAAGAGGACGAAACTGATCAAATAATGTCGCATAGATACGATTAGCTGTTGATCACCAGAATAATTCTCCCCGTTAATGATGTTTGATTTGTTTGTTGTTGTTTATTCTTCTTTCTTTTTTCTTTTTTTTCTTTTTTTTTGTCCGCCCACCGTGAGCAAGCGAGGCAGAACAAGAACAAGAGAGGGACGTATCCGAGGACAAGGTTACTTACCCTTTAGATGAAGAGGGGGACAACCTGAACTCCTACGGCATAAAAAAAAAAAAAAAATAGAGAATATACGCAGAGCTCGGCGGGTCGCTGGATGCTGGGATATAACAGTTTCTCAGAGAAGGGAGAGCTGGAGTAAAGTCAGCGACGCGAGCGAAAGGAACAAAACGGGAAAAATATAGAAGATGAAAAGAGCTCTTGCGCGTCGGTCTCTCCCTCTATCCTCTGCTGTGACTGAGAGAGCGAGAGACATAGAGAGAGTGCGAGACACAGAGAGAGAGAGAGAGAGAGAGAGAGAGAGAGAGAGTGTGTGTGTGTGCGTCTCCGAGGCGCACTGGATGCAGAGCACTGGATGCTGGAGCGCTCCTCCGCCACTAAGATTCACTTTAAGACGCGGCTGAAGGAAACAGGAAGACGTACGCGTCATGAGCGGCGTGATGTAACTGTCGCAACCTACCAATAAGAGGCGTCCGTCCGGTCCGGAGAACAACGCACTGAACTTGACCAGAGAATGGGGACTTGAGCATTGCAACTAAAGAGAGAGAGAGAGAGAGAGAGAGATAGAGAGGAAAAAAAGGAAATACCACTCTTACTAATCTCTTTCTTCTCAAATCACCGACTGCGCGAGTAAGAATCGATACGCACTTTGACATTACACCATCACAATCAGCAATAAAACACATAGACTGCATATTATTACTTTACTTATTCTTACATCCAAGTCTTAAATTGTAAAGTTTCTATAATAAATGTTAAAGTGTCACACATCTTTGAAAAGAAGTCAGAATAAGAATAATCACGGTGATGACTGCTAAGAAAATTCAAGAAACAAGTGGATTTGTAGACGTATGGTCACCTGTGACATTATATCCCTGTTGTGGATTTATTCGTTATATTAAAGGGGGGGAAAAAGAAACGTGCTTTTTAAGTTGAATGAAACATGAAATGATTTGTTAAGACAGGCAGTTTAGCGCCGCTTTAATGCAAATGTTTCCAGACATCTTCCAGTCTTTCCTTGTGGCAGTGAAATTACAAATTAACAGTCTATTTTACAACTCAAGCTGCTTCTCGACGCTTGTGTTAATGCATGTTTCGATTATGTTTTATGGGAGTCCATTAAAATGTATGAACATTCATTCAAGCCCAGTCATTTTTAATGATTACCAACTTTGTAATTTGATCCTTTTATGTCTAAATTTTACTAACTCACAGCGCACTTGTTTTTTCAAACATCAGTAGCAATTTTTTTTTCTCTGCAAAGACAACTGGTACACATTTAGACTTTTCTCAAGGGGCCTAACAGTGGTGGGTCACTTGGGTATTGGAGGTTGAATTGTGGTATGTAGGGATATTTTCCGTGCAGTTTTCTCATTGGTTGCAGCAAAGTCTGATTTATGAACAAGTTAAGCAGCACAGAGGCTCTCAGCTTTGCTTTGGAGTTCAGATTATCCAGAGAGCTAAACGTCTCTTTGTGAAATGCTCAGTTAAGAGCCCAATATCATCATGAAACGTCTGTCACTGGGATCTGCAACCTGCTGCCACTAACATATCCCCGTGCGTAAAGACTGCACTGTCATCAGAGATGATGAAAGTGAAAACTGATAGTAAATGAACACACACACAAATAAATTTTAAAAAAAATCCACGTTTATCTTTAAAAATTCAAAGATTTTTGTGGAATTATTAGATTTTCCTGCCTTTGGAAACTTCTCCACCTGTGACGCTGAAACCCTGCCGGACACTGACATCTGATCCTTTCCACATATAAACCTGTTCGACGCTTCTGATTTATGAAATGATGACGGCTGCTCGCCCTCATCCCTCCTGCGTCCGGACAAATTAGACACTTGTAATTACACTGCAGTTTTTACGCTCTGCAAACATGTCAGCCTTCCACCTCTACAACAGGTGTATAGACAATTTGTTTAGTAATATTGTTAGGAAATAATTGAATTTTTTTCGTGCCACTGAAATTAATCTTTGCGCAGGAGAATTATTTTTCCATCGGGTGTAACCATATTTTTGGATAATCGAGGTCACGTTCATCTATATTTCCACTCAGCCTGCGTTCAAGAGAAACCGTTCAACTGGGATTAAGCGCATGCAAAACATTACTTATAAATGTGCTTTATAAAAACATTTATTATTATTACTATTATTATTGCTGTTATCGGTGAATGGAGTTTCGTTTATTCGTGTGAATCAGTTTAGTGAATCCAGTTGAGAAAAAGTTTTTCATGCTGTGGAAATCAGATGGGTGTGTTTTTGCGTTTTTTCCCCCCCTCCAGCTTTTCACTTTGGATTCATCTGTTTCTCACAGAATCTTCTTTTTTTATGCTCTACGCAAACAGGATCCTAAAGCACTTAGCGAGAAATCTTATTTTCCATATGCCCCTCTGTCAGGTGCCAAAAAGGAAAAGGCGAGTCTCTTTTCCATGTCGCAAGCAAGTGTTTTTTAGGACGAACGAATTGCAACGAAGTCAGCAAAGTTTAGTGTCTAGAGTGTCTTTTCCAAAGCAGGTGTCCCGGCCCCTTGCTCCCCCTCGCTGGCCTGTGGCTGATTTGGCCTCGACTCCCCAGGGTGCCGTCGGTGCGCACACAGGCTGGAAAAACAGGCCGGGACATTAAAGAAACGCGTGTTTGGAAAAGGAAGACTCGGGTGAGGTGTAGAGGAAACGTGCTGGTTAACACTGGCTGCTCTTATCGCGGCCCATTCCAGGTGGATCAACGCGTGTATTTATTTCCCCCCCCCCCCCCGTCTCTCTTTTGGGTCGAGTGCGACACACCTCGATGCCCAAGACTGATAACGCGCGCTGGCACTGCGCGCCGATGGCTGAATTTATTGACATATTTATTAGAGTTGGGCCCAAATGCAAAAGGAGGGAGGCAGTGAAAACAATATTTCTCCCAGAGGTGTTATAAAGGTACGTTTTTAATCACATTCTGACCACAAGTAAGCACGCGCTGATGATGGCATGTGGAGTGGAGAAGGGCCAGTGCTTGGCCTATTTTTCCTCAGAATTAATTTGGATCAGGGGCGGTTCATCTGTGTTTCTATTATTATTATTATTATTATTATTATTATTATTATTATTGTTATTATTATTATTATTATTATTATTACTGTTATTATCATTATTATTATCATTATTATCATTATTAATATTATTATTAAAGCATTAGAAGGTTGTTGTCTACGTCTCGTTTTAGGTGCAAAGTGAAAGCAGAAATCAACAAACAGAATCCGAGCTGAGTTTTCCTGAATTTAAGTTGCTTGAATTATTATTGAAAGAATGACTATTATCTCTTGAGCAGCAGCGGTTATAAAAATGGCCTTAATCAGATAATGACTTGATGAGCTCCTACAACAGCTCCATTTCTTTTCACAGACAGTTTTTAAGAGAATTGAGAGAGAGAGACAGAGAGAGACAGAGAGAGAGAGAGAGACAGAGAGAGAGAGAGAGAGAGCTATTTGCGAAAACACAAGCAGAGAGAGATGGTAGCGCTAAAAGCTGTTTTGTTCCGGAGAGGTCTCCGGGTCCCTGAATAAAAAGGTTTAGGAGACAGGACAGAGGAGAGGAGAGGAGAGGGGAGGAGAGGAGGATGCAGGATTTGCCCGAGTGTAATAAGTGAGTAGGCGTCTGACTCTCATATCCTCTAAGTCCTTGTTGGGCCCCGTGTGCAGGACTTGATGTATTCAGCTTTCAACCGTGACAAAGATGAGGATGCAGCAGAAAAATATGCACTTGTTTCTGTTGTCAAGGCAAAACCCATTTCAGAAAAGGAGCCTGTGTGTGTCTGTGACCTGAACATGAAATAAGACGTACTGGAGTAAAATAACAGCAATTTGCATGGATGTGATTATTAGTGATATTATACTTCTTGGTTGCCAGGGCTGTGATAGCTGGCACAGCGATGCCCCCGATGACCCACATCCCTCTTTCTAGGCTACAAGTAGTGGTGATTATGGAGGGGATCGTGTGTGTCCGTGTGTGTGTGGTGTGTGTGAGTGTGCGACAGAGAGAGAGAAGTTGGTCATCCTCTGTGGCCTGCGAGCCATTCGATGAGACAACAACGTACTATACAAACACACACTCGCACTCAAATTAAAATATGCTGCATTTGCATGGATGGGTATTGGTCATTGTTGCAGAAGCAAATGTATGACGCAATATAGAGACAAGGTAACAGTGAAACATGAACCAAGCACCGAGTAACCTAATGATGAAAAATCCATAATAAAAACACGTGAAATGGAAAACAACTGTGCCTTTATACACGGACGCTATAGCCTATTTCTATACTCTCATATATAAGAATTTACATTTATACACACACTGTCTCTAGACCATATTTACTTTTCCTCACACACACACACACACACACACACACACACACACACACACACACACACAGTCCTTCACACATATCCGAGTGATAAAATGCAGTGTTGCAATATCCTTCTAGAAATTAACAGACCCTGTTTTCAGCATTTGGATAAAAAACAGATTGGTCGAACATTATAACCCCCCACCCCTCATGTTCGACCTATGCAGAGGTAATAGGCAATTAAAAGAATGCTGCTCAGTGATGCTGATGGGAATATGGCTGCAGTCAAACTCATTAAAACCACATATTCTAAACGTCTGAATTAGTCTCAGCCGTGTGTAAAATCCTCGAAATTGTGTATGTATTTGATATTTCTTTGGCAGAAAATAACGCAGTAACTTCCGCTAAGTCTGAGTTAATTCGATATGTCTTACGAACAACCTTGAAAGTCTACAAATGTTTAAAAATCACTGTCTATGACAGGAGTTAGGCTAAAGTCAACTGGAATGAAGGGCGCGCGCACACACGGGAACGCGCACGGGCAGTCTCCCTCGCACGCGCGCGCACACACACAAACACACACACACACAGCGCCTTGGAGGTG